TTTTATTTATTTATTTATTCATTTTTTTTGGTGGTACTAGGGTTTGAACTCAGGGCCTCATGCTTGCTAGGCCAGTGCTCTACCATTTGAAGCCACTCCACCTCATTAATTTTTTGAGAAACTGCCATGGTGTTTTCCTGAGAGTTTTGTCTCTTTGGGCTGCTATAACAATACTGGGAAGGAGGGGGGATGAACTTAAAACAGTAGAACTTTCTTAGCTCACAGTTCTGGAAGCCAGAAGTCACCACATCAAGGTATCAGGTAGGGCTAGTTTCTGATGAGGTCTCTGATTTGTACAGGGCATCTTCTCCCTGTGTTTTCACATGACCATCCCTCTGTGTTTTGTGCTAATCTCCTTTTTTTATGAGGACACCAGTTCCATGAGATTAAGGTCCACCCAATGACCTCATTTTCTCTCAGTTACCTCCTTAAGGGCTTCATCGTTGTGGATCAGGGGTTGCTGAGAACTATATGCTGAAATCTTCACCCCTAGGTGATAGTGTTAAGAGGTGGGCTTTGGGAGGTGATTAGGTCATGAGGGTGGAGCCTCATGATGGGATTAGTGTCCCGCAGGTGAGGACACAGTAGAAGGGCCAGCTGTGAATCAAGAAGCAACCCTCACCAGAGAATTGGCCATGTACTGATGTCAGACTAACAGCCTCCAGAACTGTGAGAAACAAATTTCTGTTGTTTATAAGCCAACCAGGCTACTACTTTGTTGTAGTAGATAAACTATAGATAGGGCTTCAGTCTGTGAATCTTGGGGGAGGGAATGTGCATGAGTCAGTCGATAACACTAAACATAGCTTCAGAACTCCTGCTTCCACACCACATGGTCCAAGTTTTTCCTACCCTTTTCAGGAAAACTCTTAAAGCCAGTGGGCTGTCTGTCCTATACCTGTGGTGTTTGGTATTCAGCCAAACAAACAGAACTGTCGCAGAAGACTTCCCATGTTTTGTTTTGTTTTTTTAACACTTAACGAATTTGCGTGTCATCCTTGCACAGGGGCCCTGCTAATCTACTTTGTATGGTTCCAATTTTAGTATATGTGCTGCCGAAGCGAGCACCCTCCCATGTTTCTACTACCTAGTGGCCAGAGGTCTCTCCGGGACCCTTTGACTGCACTTGGCCCTGCTCATTCTCTGTCTCTGTGTCACACTGTGGTCATGTGGCCCCCAGATCTTCCTACATCACCAGGTGAAGGGTATCCTTGATGCCTCTCTTCCTGGCCTCTTTGTTTGGGGGGTCTCTCTCCCCTCCCTCTCATGACTTTCATCCTCCAGGTAACTTTCCATTGATGGGTGGCCTCCCCACTGTAAGGGGCCTCTCTTCCTTACCCCAGGTGACCAAGCTGCAGGGTAGCTCCAGCAGACTTCCATTGGTAATCTTTGCATTGGACTTCCCTGGTTCAAGCCAGCCTCACCTTGAAGGCCTCTCAAGGCCCACTTGCCTCATTATTTTCTCCATGACCATTGACCACTAACATACCAAAGACTACTCCTTTGAAATGTCTTTTGTTTGTGACTCTGAGCTCAAGGAAGATGGAACTTTTGTATGGCTGTTAAAGAAAATAATACTCATGGTACTTTTTAAAGATAATGCTAAGGAAGCCTTTAAGGAGCTATGGTGATAGGTGCAGGCACCACAGCAATGGAGCCTCACAGTGGGAGAGAGATCAGGTTCCACTCCAAACATAGCCTAGGCCATGGGGATCTATACCTAAGGAGCGGTGTGAGGTCAGTGGCTAGAAAATGACCAAGAGGAGATAGCAGGGGTGAGGGGAATCTGGCTGATCCCTCTGCCAACAGAATTCCTGCTAAAAGCAGGCCAGGGCCCAGACATCACCTGGGGTATGGGTGGATGAAGAGCCCAGTCACATACTGACAGTGATTGGACATTGACAGTAGGGTTCTTACTCAACTGATTTAGCAAGGTTCTCCCTAAAACTGGATTTTCAAGGAAGCACAAAGCCGGACCCAGAAGATTCAGGCACCTGACTACACACTTTAGCCAAGTAGAGAATCGTTGTCATAGCTCACTGTCACATCCCTAGAGCCTCGGGCAGTGCCTGGTAGCATTAGGGGTTCAGTTAATAGTGGACAAATCAATGAATTACTGTCTCAGGCTGATCTCTACAAAAAGGACTTGAGCATGTGTCTTTCTGACTGTGGTCAGGCCCCAGGCCCTGGACTTTGCCTTCAGGGCCCTTTCTGTCTGCCTCAAATCCTGTGAGATCCTGGATCCCTACCTAATGGGTCTGGGCAGTGTTGGGGCTGATGGAGATCCAGCCAGGAGCCTCCTCCCCAGTGACCCCCAACCCTCAGACCCCTCAGGCCACAGACTTCCTGATTGACACCAGCTGTAAATGGAATGTGTGCCCCTGGCAGGCCACAACTTCCTCTTCCCTGGGTTTGAGGGTTATCCAGCACCTCCCTACCAGCCCAGGCAATGGTGGAGCGGAAGCCAGGCCAGGCCAACACTGGCTGGGGGCAACACTCATGGTGTAAGGGTCACATTCCTCAGGCCTCACATAAGCCCATTCCTCTGGCTTCATGTTAGCTCATCCCCGGGCAAGCAGAGGAATTGGCTTCTCACCCACATAAACTGGCAGGAAGGGTAAGTGAGCAGTCCACCCTGTGTCCATGGGCCCTGGGCTTGGGCCATTCACTGTGCTCTGGAATGCTCCCACTAATCCTGTGCTGGCTGGCAGCCACCACCCTGTGGGTTATTTAAACACAGTGGACTCAAATAAAATGGAATGTTCCTCTCCTGAGATGTGTGTCTCTAGGCCTCTGCCCATGAAGCCTTCCTGGACCTTCTGTATTAGGCTGGCCAATCCAGATGCCCAGCAGTTACCCCACAAAACCTGGAAGTCTGGGCTGTGCTCTTCCCGTCCTAAGTGAGGAGGGCCTAGCTCCTGAGGGCCCAGGGAACCCAGGGGCCCATTGTGGCCTCAGGAGCCCAGCTGCATTTGGAGCCCATTACCAGCAATGCCCAGAGGCCTGCACCCTGCAGTTATCAGTTGGGGTGGGAGAGCTGGAAAATTGACCATTTGAGGGTCCCAGACCTCACTTCCCAGGGTGGTGATGATTTCCTGTTTTTCTCTCCTTATGGTTTCCTCCCTTCCCAAAGGAAGGAGAAGGGAGCTGCCCCCATTCTGGGATGTCTATGAACATGCCCCTCTCCACCCTAGCCCTCCCAAACTCCCATTTGCAGTGGCCAGTTGGCCAAGGCTGTGGAAACAGAGAGGGAAGAGACAAGAGGTCATTTCTAACTGATCCTGTTCCAGCATAGCTCAGTGGCCATGCCCTGTCTGGACAAGGGTGGGTCCCACCAGCCCTGGACCATTGGTCTGCTCCAGGGCTTGGAAGATGAGGAGAGAAGAGAGTTGTAGTGATGGCTGAGCATTTGTCAGCAGTGTCTGGCTCTGCCTGATCCCCTTGTGGCCATCCCAGGCAGATGGGGAAACTGAGATACACAGGTTTGGGTTTTTTTCTTTTTTTTTTTTTTTTAGTAGTTAAGTGACTATGAAGTGTTAGGTTTGGTAGCCAGGTAGGTGTAGCCTGTGGGAATTGAGAGTTGAGCATCTTAGATATGCATCATGTGCCATGGGAGGTGACATCCTGGTTTAGAGGCTCAGGATTCTGGTAATGTCCACATTGCAAAGGAGCTGGTACTTGCCCAGCACAGGTCAGGACAGCCAGGTACACCCCCACTGTGAGGATGAAACAACAGGACCAATGTCACCACCATCAAATGCTCACTCAATCTCCCCAGCTCTCCATGAAGGGAGGCCCGTTTAGCAGGAGTCCCTTTGGCCCTCCTCCCATGGACATAGAACTTTCAAATGGGAAGAATTCTGTCTGTTCCCCAAAACTTGTATGCTGAATTCTTTAACACCTATGAACTCAGAATGTGATTGCATTCGGAGACAGGGCCTTTAAAGAGGTGATTTAGATAAAATGAGGTCAATGGGGTAGTCCTAATCCAACATGACTGATGTCCTTATAAGAAGACATCAAGAAGAATGTCAGCCATGTGAAGATAGGAAGAAGACTGCAGTCTGCAAGTCAGGAGGAACCAGCCCTGCCCACACCATGAACCTAGATTTGCTGCCTCCAGGACTGAGAGAATAAAGCTTTGTTGCCTGAGGCACCCAGCATGTGATATTATGACAGCCCAAAGAGACAGATCCACCTGCAAAATAGAGTTTCATTTGTGTTCGCTTGCAGCTGGGTCAGTCAGGTAGGCCTCAGAAAGAAGAGGAACTCAGCAGGCAGATGGCATCTGACTGAGTCAGGCTGAAATTAGACTTTATCTTAGCCTAGGCTTGGGACAGGGTCACCATAGAGGTTTGCAGCTCAGGAGAGGCCACTGGGGCTTCCTTGGGCCTCAGGGAGATTGAGAGGCAGCTTGGTAACCTGTGGTCTGCACTGGGGTGGCTCCCTTACGGGAAGCAGCCGGTCTCTCCCAACAGTACCCTTTTTGTCTCTTACCAGAGCCATTCTTGCAAGTTCTGGCCAGCATCCCATCCCAATACCTCCAGGGCCTGAGATGGACTACCCTCTTCCCTGAGCTCAGGCTGACCTTGTGCTCGACTGTTCTTTGTTTCTGACATCTTTGTGCTCTGCCCAGTCCTCACCACTCAACCCTGGTATGCTGCCTGGCACTGAGTGGCACCATCATGTGTGTAGTGACTTCCAGGGTTTGGTCTCTTGGGCTGTCGCTGGGGAGAGATGGTCTTTTCCAGCCAATATGAATCTGAGCTGTATCTCCCCCAGTGAACAAGCATTGGATACTTGTACATAAATGTGCATGCTTAAAAACGTGCCCACAATGCACACATCAGTAGCATACATCACATCAGTTATGCATACATAACTATGTATGCATAGTTACCGGTATGTACATTAACAAAGTTGTGTGCTCAGACATATATCCACATGCATACACTCTGTTGTAAACAAAAGTTAGTTTTATTTTACTTCATTTTGGAGGTTGGCTCTGAATTAGGGATGATGGCAGAGAAGCTATGGACAAGCTCTCCAAAGCCCCCTTCCCCTAGCCTGGCCAAAGCCATGCCAGTCCAAGCAATCCAAAACTTTGTCAGTCCAAGTAGTAAGGCACAGCAATAGCTCTGCATAATTTCCAGTATGTCCCCAAAGAAGGGGTTATGGTAGGCCATCACAGCTAAGAGAGGGGGGAGATCCTGTGCAGTCCAAGCCCTGTCCACAGTTTTACCCCAACTGTCTTAAGCAGGGAGCCAGGAGATGGGTGCAGACCAGAGCTGGGCCTCTGCTTGTCTCAGGCCTGCTTTGGCTTAACCTTCCAAGCAAGGAAGCACTGGGATTGCGCCACCTTTGCAGGAACCAGAACCTGTGTTCACAGGAACTGAGAACACTGCAAAGGAGCACACTTGCTGCTTCAGGGAGTGGGGACAAGCACAATCCCCAAAAACTTTCATGCCAGGCACCTTAGGGAGTCCCACAGGGTGGCTGCAAGGAAGTAGAAGGGAAGGGCTAGCAGCCCCAGCAGTGGGCATCTTTGCTCAGGATGGTCCTGGAGGGGGTGAGTCAGTGTCTTGTCTCAGCTTTATCAACTCTTCAGAGTTGCAGACCAGAATTCAGGACCTTTGTGGTTCCCAGATCCCCTAGACCTCCCCCTCTCACCCTGGAGTGAGAGGTACCCAAGTCAATGCCTCCCAAGTACCTTAGCCCTTCCTGAGACCACAAACTGAGGCACACACATCTGGCCTTCCCCTCCCATACCCTCAAATCCACACAGTGGCCTTGCCGTCCCTACTGCCACTACTGCCCTTCTCCGAGCCAGCTCTAGGCTTGGTGCCCAGCCGACCCTGCTCCCCGACGGTGCCCCCTGACGTGGCACTACCGGTTCCAGAAGCCGGGGCACCAGCCCTAGGTGGCCCCCGGGAGGCCGCTGAGAGCCCGGGACAGGGCGGGCTGTCCCGGTCACGATCACCGGCAGCCACTGCAGCCCCGTCCCGCAGCGCCTGCAGGGTCAGGTTGGCCAAATTCTGGTCGTGCGCACGGGCGCGCTCTGCCGCGCGCACCACCAGGCTGTAATCGGGCGGGCAGGCCAGGCCAGCCACAGCGGCCGGAAAGGCGCAGGGCGGGGGACGCGGCGCGGAGCCTGGAGCTGGCGCTGAGGGACCCCGGCGGCCACGAACGGCGTCCTGTGCACTACCCAGGCCCAGGTGCGCCATCTCGCAGAGGTTGAGCAACAGGCACAGGCAGCTGACCACGTACATGACCAGCAGGAAGACCGTCTTCTCGGTGGGCCGAGACACGAAACAGTCCACCACGTGCGGGCAGGGTTGGCGGCTGCAGGCGAAGAAGGGCCGCACCTCAAAGCCATACAGCAGGTACTGGCCCACCAGAAAGGCCACCTCGAAGGCTGCCCTGACCACCAGCTGGGCCACGTACACGCGCATCAGGCCCTCTCTCTGGATGCGCCGCCGACCGTCGTGCTGCCCCGCCGGGCCCGGTGCCCCAGACACTTTGCTGTCCCCCGTGGCTGCCTTGGCGGCAGCCTCCTCAACACGCTCCTCCTCACCCTCCTCGCCCGGCCCCTCTGGCGCCCCCTGCTCTTCCTCTTCCTCCTCCTCTGCCAGTCCCAGCATGGGCTCTGCCTCGCCCAGGTCTGCGTGCTCTGCCCAGCCAGGCGGAGGCACATGCGGCCGGGCTCCGCGGGTGGGACCCGGACGGCGGCGGAGAGCGCGTCTGCGCTCCTGCTCTGAGGCGCGCGCCAGGCGGTGGACCGCGTAGCCCAGGTACATGACTGAGGGCGTGGAAATGACCACTATCTGGAAGACCCAGAAGCGAACGTGTGACAAGGGCGCAAAGGCATCATAGCAGACGTTGTCGCAGCCTGGCTGCCGTGTGTTGCATGTGAACTTGGACTGCTCATCCGAGTAGATGGACTCGCCACCCACAGCCGTTAACACAATTCGAAAGACCACCAGCACAGTGAGCCACACCTTGCCCACAAAGGTGGAGTGGTTGTGGATCTCCTCCAGCAGCCGCGTCAGGAAGCTCCAGCTCATGTTGGTCATGGGCGCAGGCGGGTAGGACCTGTGGGTGTATGCAGTGGTTAACCAAAGGTCCTGACTGGGAACTGCAAGGCATAGAGTGGAGGCGGCCGGAGGCCTTACCACAGCTGGCTTCTCTCTACTTAACCTTAGTGACCGTGAGCTCATCACTTTGCAGAGAAAAGGCAGTCCCTTGATGGGTCCTGACCCTACCCGTGGAGTCAGACACAGGCTTCTGGGGCAAAGCCTCATCTCACACTGAGCACATGCCCCAGCCCCTCCTGCTCTTCCTCCCCCAATCTCCCTAGGAAAGCCCAGACCTGGGGAAGCTGCACTCCTGCTTCGACTCAGGGATCCCACCTTAGGCCCTCAGAGATGCAAAGCCACAATCTGTTGTGTGGGAGTATTTCGTGGGCAGAGGCGAAACCCAGGTCAGTCCCACTCAGAAGCTGTTAGGATGTACAATCTCAGCTCCCACTGCACCAGGGCCGCCCCACCCTAGCCCCTGAGGCAGGGGGTTATGCCCCAGCATCTGAAGGGCTCTCCCTGGGCTTAGCCCCCAGCCATCCACTCACAGCTCCTCAGCCCTTGAGCGCCCCCACCAGCTCCTCCTGTGGCCCCATCAGCCCCCCATAGTTCCATCAGCCTCCACCCCTGCAGCCCTTTTGGGCCCCAGCTCCACCAATCCCCTAGCTTCCAGCCCTCCACCCACCCTCGCAGCAGTTCTGTCCTTTATCTCTCCACATCCTGTGCAGCAGATCTGGGGGCCCCCTCTGCCTCTGTAAGAAGACCCCCATCCTCCTCAAACCCCTTGCAGATCCTGCTGCTACCTAGCTTGCCAGCTGCCCCTACCAGTGCCCAGACACTATTTGGGACTCTTATCAGCCCCAGCTGCTAGTCCCCCGCTGGACTAGTCCTGTATCCAAACAGGACTGTGTCCAGTGAGGCTGCAGTGATGCACGACCACACTTGGACACCTGTGGCACTCAGAGGTGACCACATCCCAAACCAGCTGGGCCATGGGCAGGCATGTGCCTGAGAGAGGTTCTGCAGGGGCAATGCCCAACCTCCCTCGTCATGTTCACCCCAGGGCCAGTACCTGCTTTTAGGTAGCTCTGGGCAGGAGACCCCCGACAATGACACTTCTGGTCCTGGCTAGGCCTAGAAGGCAGCTGCAGCAGGTGTGGGAGCAGCATCAGGAGCCGTGGGACTCCAGGCCTCTTTATGCAGCCCGGGTTTCTCCCCACAAGGCAGGAAGAGGGGGCAGGCAGAGGGGGAAGCAGGGGTTCCTGAGGAAGTGGCCCTACTTCCTCACATCTGTGCAGCCCCTGCTTGAGGCATATTCACGTGTCCAGTCATAAACACACACCTTCATGAGCAAACACACACATCCATGTACACACACATGAAAACGCGTAAGTGCAGTCACAGCACCCTTGTGTACACATGTGCAGAAACATATGAATACCTACACACATGTGCACTCACAGATGCACATGCACACTGGTATGCATACACATACTCAAAATATACATGTACACATGCACACAGACGTGTGCATTCATACACATGTACAGATACACACCTAGATACATATGCAGACACTAACACTTGTACACTCATGCACAAACAGGTATGCACTAAGGCACATGTCATCACACACATGCATGTACAGAAATATGTACATATTCCTGTGTACATGCATACATGCACAAGGTCCACACATATTCACAAATTAGTGCATCCACATCTTCAGATGTAGGGGCCACCCCCTCCATTCCTCTGCTTCGGACAGGCTTGGACATGCTGGGAGCCTTCCCAATAGTAGCTCCAATTCCCTTACCTCAGCTTTAGCTCCAGCTTTCTCCAAGGACCTGCCCCATCACAGGAGCTGGAGGCCCACAATGCAGTCCCAATAGAAGCCTAAGACAAGAAGCAGGCCCAAGGGAGAAATGGAGCAAGAATCCCTGGGGTGCCTGGGCAGACCTGCCTGGCAGTGTGTGCACAGTATTTAACAATTGGCTGTCTAGGGAAGCCTTGGTTTGCAGTGGTTACCAATTGCCTAGTGTAAATACTCCCGCTGTGACAGATAAGCAGTTGAGGAGGCATGCAGTTAACCATTGAGACTAGCTGGGGTCTGAGCAGTGGTGCTTTGACCTAGGGGGATCTCTGGCACTTGTACACATGGTCACAGCCATTCATTCTGCATGTTTGGTTCTGGGTGCCTCAGTTCTGGAGTTGGCCTGGAAGAGCTAGGGCCCTGGTGTCAGATGATGTATAGCAGGACTCCCAAATCCACACTTGTACCTCTTTCCTGCCTGACATTGGCATTCAGTCACCTCAGACTCCAAGGGTCAGACAAAACACCAATCTCCTCTTCAGAGTGGCCGGCCTCCTTATCCCTGGATACTTCACCTGAATGGCTTTCTCCCCATACTGCCTTGGGTCCATCAGCAAAACCTGTCCACTTGCACAGCCTGGGCCTGTCGGGTCCTGGAAATTTCACTTGTCCTTCTCTGTAAGCCTGGCTTCACACTAACACATGTTGAGGAATTTTAGAATGCCCACCCATAGGGCCTCCTCTGCTGCCTATTGTGACTTCTAACTGGGGTGAATGCCAGGGTTGAGCAGACCTCCCTCCCACCCCCTTTGGCTGCACGGGTCATGGTCTCATTTCAGAAGACAGTATGAAAGGAGAAATCCCACTTTTTCAGTGAACACACCTGACCAGGACCCCCCCGCCAAGCAACTTAGGTCAGCATCATGGCAGTTAAGTCATGTCAACTCTACCTGTAGGGCAGGCTGTTCACCCCCAAGATCTTCCTCCTGAAACCCATGATCCTGGACAAAGTTCAAGAAAATGAGCTAATTTCCAACAGAGGGGCATCATACAAAATGCTTGGTGGCGTTTATCCAAGCAGCCAAGTCAAGGAGAATCTGCAGGACTGTCAACCAAGGTCTGAAAGTCAGAAGGGGCTCTGGGAAGGGTGGAATGAGGACATAGGGGAGACCCAGGGACATCTGATTAGAGTATGGTTTTTAGCTAACAAGGATGCAGGCAGGCATCATCAGTTCATTGCAGTGATGACTGCGCCACACTAATGCAGACATGAGTGAGGAAGACCTTGGCGAAAGGATCTATGGGAACTCTCTGCACTATCTTGTAAGCTTTTCTGTAGATCTAAATATGTCTAAAATAGAAAAAGGACCTCCACCACAGAGGCAGGCAGTTGCTCCCAGCATTTGCAGCCAGTCTAAGTGCAGGGGCCTTCATTCAAGGGAACTCTTGCTCCAAAGCTGCATGTACAGTGGAGTCCAGGATGAAGCTCCATGGGGGGCTTTCAGTGAATGTGAGAGAGGAGAGAGAGAGACAGAGAGACCCCACTGTCCAAGGCCTCCATGGCGCAGTAGTAGTTGCCCAGGGTCAGATAGGGAGGAGTGGGAAGCATAGGTTGCTGTGGGCTTTGGAGTTTAAAGGAAAGACATGATTGCAGGGTAGGGAGCTCAGAGCGGGGGATCTCACATCATAGAGACTCAGCAGTCTCAAATCAGAAGTCTCCCCACAATCAGCCAGCCTGCCCTGCCCTGGGCACTCTTTGGGCCACCATGTCAGGGACTCTCAGTGATATGGGAGCTCAGGAGCAGGGAGGAAGGCTACCTGGTTTAGGTGAAGTGGGGTTGTCAGATTGGGGGCAGAGTTGCTTCTGTAAGGGTCTTTTCCAGTGATCAGGCAAAGGTGCCCATCCAGAAACTAGGCATCAAGTTCCCACCCCTCCTAAACAATGGGAATGACCAGTCAGCCCCAAGCCTCTCAGGAGTGGCTATGGGGCTCCACTCTCTTCCCAAACCCTACTTGCCCCAGAACCAGGGTACACCCTCCCCTTCCTGCCCAGGTATTTCCTTCCCATATCCACCCCTCCCAGGAATGAAAGGGCAGGCTGGCTTCCTCCTGCTCAAGGTAGCTGCTGGAAAGGCACAGAAGGCTAAGCTCACCAAACAGCAGTTCATCTTGGTAATCTCAGGCAGCCTCTTCCCTTCCCTGAAGATGATGGGACCAGGCACTGGGTTGTCCCTTATTTACACAATATCCCACTGGCAGCCCAAGCCTGACTCTGATCTCCAGGTCCCTGTCAGTTCCCCTGGGTCCTGGCAGGGTAGGGTCTCCTCTCTCTGGGCCACCTGTGTGGCTGGAAGTCCTCACTCATAAACTGCAGCACTTACCACTGCATGACTCAACCCTGCACACCCAGATGTACTTTGTTCCACCTGGACAGGCTGTTCCCCAGGCCCAGGGACCTTCAGCCTCAACCACACACACCTGTGCTTTGGCCCAGCAGGAGGTGTGCTTTGTCAGTGCCCAAATCTTAGGTGTGACCGTTTCCTATGTCCACTCCCTCCAGCAATGCCCAGGGCTAATTATACTGAGAACACACTCAGGTGAGCTTGGTCAGGATCTAGCCTCCACCCCCCTCCTCTTCCCCCTTTTTCCTCCTCCCCTTCTGCTGGTAGCAGAAGGTGCTGTCCACATACTCCTCTAGTGGGATCCCAGGGAAATCCAGACTCTCAGGGCAAAGGTTAGTCCTGACGGGTCCTGAGGTTTTTTGATCCAGTCATGCCCATCTCACAGCTGGCCTCATCCACTGCTGGAATATCACACCTGGGCACACAATAACACAGTCATCTCACCCTTGTGGATGCACTTAAGAGGTTTACTCAGACACACACAACTGCATGTTCACACATGGACTCAGCCAGTCACTGCCTACCTCACGAAATCTCTCCAGGCCTAGGAGGGCCTGTCCTTTCCTGTCATCACTCTCCTCACTCAACTCCCCTAAACTGACTGCAGCCTCAGGAACCTCAATGCAGGTGGCATGATGGTGGCTTATGCTTACAAATGTCAGTGGACACTAGCTTTGGAGGACATAGCCCAGGTACTCAGGTGGAACGTATGGACCTAAGATGTCCAGATGTCCCTTAAGAGTTGCCTTTTGTGGCCCTGACACTACGGAGACCTGGCACTCAACCTGGTGGCCCTTGCTCCTGGGTACCCTGTGGAGACCATGCCTCCTCCCTCCTGAGATGGGCTGTAGGGTCCCACCTGCTGCCCTTCCCACCTGAACCAGATCACAGGAAGTAAGGGCTGTTCCCTTGGAAACAGAGGATGAAGGGGATAAACCTAAGCAGGCTGGGGAGGGAATGACAGGCTGGGAGCTGCAGTGTCAACAACTACAGGCAGGCCTCTGGGCCCACTAAGGTAGCCTATAGCCAAGTTGCACTGGCAGAAATGGAGCCACTGGCCTAGGTATGGTTGAGGGGTACCATCCACTGGAGCTGCCCAGGGAGGTTCTGTCCCCAGTTCCCCACAAGGGGTACACACTCACCCTATCTGTTCCTAAATCCCAGTCCTACTAGGCCCACCTGCCCCTCCCACAGCTAAGTCAGGATATCCTGTCCACCTTCACACAGAGCGTATCACCCAGCTTGGGCCTCCCCTGTGCAACAGCTCTGGATGCAACAAAGTTGCTGGCAGGCAGCAGATCCTTCTGGATGGGTCCTCTGCCTCTGGCCACCCATCCTTGCTACCTGCAAAGTCCCTGGATGGTGCAGGAAGGCAAGAAGCACTCGTTATGATGACCTCCTGCAGCATGGCGGCCATGGGACCAGCTCCAGGGCCTGAGCCACCACATTAGTAGCAGGTAGACGGGCAGCAAGGGAGAGGTTTGCTTAGAGTCAAGTTGAGAGTAGTCTGGGCCCAGCGCCCAGGAATGCTCCTGTCGCAGCCTCTGGACACATGGCAACTAGCTGGGGTAAACTGGCTCCTCCTACCGAGGGGCCTCAACTGCTAGGGAATATATCAAATGCACCCCTAGCTCACCAGCCAGGCCCTGAGCTATATGCCACCCCTCTCCCAGGTGTAGCTGCCCAGAAGACACAGAGGTCACTTAAGCCTGAGCAGGACACACACACATAGAGCCCCCCAACACACACCAGGTCTAGTTGCCCAGAAGACACAGAGGTCAGCCTCTGCCCATGAGGTCACTTAGGCCTGAGCAGGACACACACAGAGAGCACCTTGATGCATAGGGACAAGGCCAGATTGGGAGTTCCACAGTGAGCAATCAGTCTCCCCACTAGGGTCCCCTCTTGTGACCCCCCTCCCAACTACAGGGCACGAAAGGCTAGTGGGGATGCACAAGGTGGCAAAGTTGCTTAACCTTAAATGACTGTCAATCACACTAGCCACACATAGCTTGCCCCTGGATGAGTCTGGGGGTTCTAGAAAGTGCCCTACCTTCTCCAGGCTGGGAAACGCAAGCCTCTGGCTGAGCCCTTCCACCTGCCACTGGACACTGATCCTCCCCGAGCGCACACTGTTGAGCCAGGGCCACCTCTCGCCACCAAGCACAATGAGGGGTGGAGGAGGGGCCTTCAAGGGCTCCATTGTTCCCCCCTTCCCAGGGTCTGAATCCCTGATTGTCTCTGGGGATGGGGCAGCAAGGAGCTGGACAGGCCTCACTGGGATGCCTGGACCCCCAGGCAGGTCTTGACCGTCTCCTCCCCTGCTTCTACCTCAAGGTCCTAGCCAGTTTTGGCCTTCCCTGCTTGACTCACATCTGGGCTTTTGGAAGCAGCCCAGGACTCCCTGATCTCCCCGACTACTTTTACCTAGGCTCTTTGCCTTCTTCACGCCCATGTCCTGCCTCGGGAGCAGCCTCACCTGGGTACACACCAGACAGTGCTATGGCTGTTCTCCTGGGCAAAGTGTACGGAGGAAGAAGGGCAGGGAGCCAGACACACAGGACACCTCTCATCTGGGGTAGGAGAGGCACAACTGCCCTTCACTTAAGAGACATCTCTTGGGCTGGTGGAGTGGCTCAAGCAGTAGAGTACCTACCTAGCAAATCTGAGTTCAACCCCTAGTACTGCCTCCTCCAAAAAAAGGTATCCTTCTCAGAAACCCTGAACCCTCCTGGTCTCCAGACTCAGGGCTCTGGGACCTCTACAGATGCCCACAGCATCTGCTCCTACACCAGCCCCAGACAGGACTTGCCAGAACTGCCTGGAGCCTTGAGACTTGGCAGTCTGTGCATAAACATAAAAGCACGTGGCTCCCACAGGCCCCAGGACGAGCCCCTGCAAGCTCAGTTCCCCACACACTGCACCCTGCTGTGGCCATATGCCCTCCTTCCTGATCAATGTCATCTGGCCCTCTGAGAGGCCCCCAGCTTTTGAGGGTTCTCAGGGCTGGGCTCAGGGCAGCCCATGCTGGTCTTCCCAGCAGACTGGAGCAGCCCTGGGCAGCATGCTGATGACTGGCAGACCCTGGGTGGAAGGACAGTTTCAGCAGAAACATACACAGTGCCCTTTGGCAGCCCTTCACCAGGTAGGGGCCAGTGCAGAGAGCTGAAGCCCCAGCCCTGCTTAGGACTGAGCCCCCCAACCTGAGGGCTCTGGCACTCTAACCCAATAGTTACTTTATTCAGATGTCAGTCCTGCTCCAGCAGGAGGAACAGGGATGGGGCAAGGGACAGCCCCAGGGAGGTTAAATGAGTGGCACCTGGGGTCCTCCAACCATGATGAGTGAGGAAGTGGGCAGCATCCTCTACCCTAGGTGCCAAATGAGGGTGCAGAACCACCATGTGGCCAGCCGATGGGCAGCTCTGTCTACTCCTCAATGGAAACCTATTCCAGGTCCTGTGAGCATCCTCAGCACCCTAAGCAGGCTTCTTGTAGAGCCCAGGCAGACCTGGGGCACAGAAGAACATCTGAGGAGTGAACCAGGTGCTCAGGCACGACCAGTCCCCTGAGCTTTCTTGATTTCCTGCCAGAAAGGAAGGAAAAAAGGAGGTCAGGGAAAGCTGGGATCTACAAGGGCTGGGCCTCATACCCTCCCTCTCTTGCCCAATCAGCCCTATACCTGGCAGAACCTCAGCTGACGGCCATGCACCCCACCTCCCCTGGTTTTCCCAAAGTCTGAACAAGGACAGGGTCCAGGCAGGGACAGGGTAGGCTGGGAGGGGCCCACCTCAGAGAGTGCCTGCTTCAAAGTTGCATAGGCCTTGTCCAGGTTGTCGTTGATGATCACCAGGTCAAATAGACCAGGCTCCTTGCCTAGGGATGGGACAGGGTTAAGGGCAGAGTCTGGCCCTGCCCATGCCTACATCACTGGGCCAACCAACAGCCTGGCTGCAGCTGCACTTAATACCACCGCATTAAGGTGTCCAGGCTATGAGCAGTGCCTGTGAGGAACAGTCCTCAGGACCTCTCCCTTCCTCTGTAGAACCCCAGATGGAATTTGTTCCTGTCAAGCTTCTGAAACCCAGAACATGGATTCCACTGCCCCACCAGACTTCCCATTAAGATTGGTACTGTCTATGATGGGTTGACTTATGTCCTCAGGAGGAACAGACAGCAAGAGGTCTGACCAACAGCATCTGAACCAATCAAGCTAACCTAGAAGGAAGAGCACAATTGCAAAAGGATGCCCATGATGCCCTAGGTGGCTAAGAAGGGTCTGGAGCCTCAGGGCACCCTTGGAGAAAGTATGGACTCTCAGAAGACCCGGGTGACAGAGAAGTGGAGCATTCCCCCATCTCTGACCCCGACCTTCCCCGTTTCCTGATGGGTGGACTGGTTGCTCTCCAGAGAAGATGCATGAGTGCCTGAACACACTCACTGCTTTCCATATCAGCCCTTGCTGCAGCCAGCCGCTTCCCCAGACTCTCCTCTGTCTCAGTGTTGCGCTGTCGAAGTCTCTGCTCCTACAAAGCAGGCCTTCCTGGGGTCAGCAGTCTTTGGGCCCACCCAACCTACCCCACCTCCCAGGGCACCCACCAGCACATCCAGTGAGGGGGGCTGCACAGAGATGTAGATGGGGTGCAGGTCAGTCTTCTTAATGTTACGCACACCCTGCAGGTCCACGTCCAGCACACAGATGCGGTTCATGGCCTGTACAGCCCGCACGGCAGCCTTGCTGTGGGAGAAGGGGGAGGACAGCCAGGGGATGCTCAGTAGGGCTTGAGGAAAAATCTTGGCCTCCACATCCTTGTGTGGGTTCCTGCCTGGCTGGAGGTCCTCAGGAGCACTTGGATGAGCTGCTAGCTCCTCAAGCCTCCAAGCGTTTTGGGGAGACCTGGACACTCCCTCCAGGTACCCTTCCTCCACAAAGGCCCACCCTAGGTGGCAGGAGCAGCTCAGCTGACCCCAACAATCGTATTTCCCAGAGCACCACAAGCACACCCTCCCCTGCCAGCATACTCCCTGTCCTGCAGGTATATGGCCAGGGGCTCTTGAACAGGTTTGAGGTGCCTGTCACTTCCCGCCCCTCCTGTCATGTGTGGCCCCTTGTCCCCAAAGGGATCACTTTAGAGAATTCAAGCCTGGGGCATGACTAGGCCTGCCTGCTCCTTGGAGCCTTCAGCCAAGCTCAGAGGCTCCGGGAGGAACCAGCAAGGTTCAGGCCCAAGTGGAAGGGGAGGAGCAATTACAAGGTCAGAGGGGACAAGCTGGAGAGTTCCTCCTGCCATTATGACTCTGGGGGGACTTGGATCCAGGGCTCCAGGGATCCTGGGCATGTCTGGAGGATGGCCCACCTTGTCCCGTATAAGTTCCCTGAGAACTCAGCATGCTCGATGAAATCCCCAGCCGCGATGTCACGCTGCATCACCTCCCTGGTCACAAAGTAGTAATCTGGAGAGGAGGAGGGTTGTCCAGAAGGTGCCCAGAGCCCAGCCCTACCTGACCCAGCCATCCTACCTGGCCCAGGCTCCCTCCTGGGCTTGCTGACATATTCTCTCCACCCCACACCCCAGACAACACTATTGCTGTCATTGTCCTCACTGGGGTACAAGAATCTGCCAGGTTCCAGAGGGAGGTGGGGACTTTCATGCCATGCACCAAGCAGGCAGAAACAGCTCTATCACTTGAATAGAGAAAGCATCTAGGATGTGCTGAAGAGTGCACTCCATGCACTCAGCTACACAAGCCCAGGACACAGGCCGGCATCACCACCCCCAGCCCTCACTATAATGCACAGGGCCTAGTTAAGCCCACCACTCTAAAGGCAGGGACATTCTTCAGGTGGGGAAACTGAGCTGTATGCATCACAGCTGACAAGCACAGAGTGAAGGGCCTTCCCACCATCCCCATGCCAGCTTGTTCCTAGGGCCCAAGGAACACCCAGTCCAGCTCACCTTTGCCGTTCTCCTCACCAGGCCGAGGATCCCTTGTTGTATCTAGGAAAAAGACCCATCACCCACAGAGGAGATGACAGAGCCCTGCAGCCCCAGCCAGGATCTTCCCTGGTAGATTCATTCCGCCCTCCAGTAGTATAGAGGGCTGGTCATGCAGATCTGTGCCACTGAGGCAGGAGGAGCCCATAGCCAGGGACCAGCCTGACCTCAGTGGGTCACCAGGGCCCAGGGTGCTTACTGTATACTCAGGCCCTGGGAAGGGAGAGGGTTGGCAGGGTGAGTAGAATATCCCCCAGGCTGAGCATGTACATTTGGGGGCTCCAGGAGTGGTCCCAAGGTAGTACTCCAGCCTCGCTGCCCTTCATAGCACTCACGGGACACACTGAAGCCGAAGATGCTGCCATGCTCTTGGAATAGCCTCTTCAGCAGGGTGCTCTTCCCAGCCCCCGATGGCCCACTCAACACCACAGGCCTGGGGCCCGACATGCCTGTGGGAGAAGGAGGGCAGGTAAAACATGAGCAGCTCTGCCCTCAACAGTGCACTCAGCACTCTGCTACGAAGGAGGCAGTGGGGTGAGGACCTCCCTAGGGCTGCATTACCATGTAATGCTCAACCATACGAAAAAGAGCTTAAATCCAGCAAAGACCACAAACAAAGACAGAAAGGCCGACAACCTTCCAACAGAACCCACCAGGAATGTCCACAGCCTGCCTGACTTGCTTGCCTCCCCCAAGTGACAAGGGACAACACTCTACTAGACTGCCCTCTAGGACCTCACATGGGAGCCTGAACTTTGGTTCCTATAGTGGCACTGCCCACTGGGTTGGAAAGTCTGAGATGGGAAATGTCTCTGTCCCCACAAATGTGACCTCACCAAGGAGTGCTCAGCCCAAGCCCATTCTGGGAACTTCCAACTAGACTTGGGAGCCCATCTTTGACTCTACTGTCTGGGAAAGACAGTCTGCTAGGAGGTCAGGGCAGCCCTCGCCACAGGCAGGGGCACTGGACAGCCAAAAGGAGCAGTTGTTTGGGTACGTATGGAGGAATCAGCCAAGCCTTACCCCAGAGCTCAGCCAAATCTGGGACCCAAGCTTCCCTTCCCTGTGGCCCTGCTGTCTAGCACCTCCCAAGAATGGGCCGGGAACTCTCATAGAGTTCCCACCTGCTCCCAGCCCTTGCCTTACTTCCCCAATGGCCCTTACACCAGATCCTGATCACCCCTGCACTACCTCCCTCTGGCCTGGCCTCTGAGAAGGTCCTCCTTTCCCTGGTGGGGATTCACCTAGGCATTTCCCCCTTCACCCCCGGGGTGGCACGCACCTACTTGAGTAGTTGCAGCCTCCACAGTAAGCCTGGGGTGAGTCAATGGCTGCTCTGCACTGACAGTTGTGGTGGGGGGGGAGGCCTAATCCCTGCCAAGCCTGCACCCCACCCTTCTGAGTGCTAAATCCCTGAGGCAACCAGCTCCGCCTACCCACTATGTAGGAAAGAAAAAGCAGGTCCTTGTCCTGGCCTTGAGACATGAACCTGTCCACCATGTGAGCTGATGGGCACAAGGCCAAGGGCAACATCTGGGTGAGGGTAGGGGAGTGGGACAAAGAGCCAAGGCAGAGTCTGGGGGACCCCTGAAGATATGTGGGAGCTGGAGGGGTTGTCTGGTAACCCAAGCTCCTTGGACCCTGAGGGTTAAGATCCAAGAAAGCTTCCTGTGGAGTTGTATGGGAGTTGTCAGGGGCTATAGGAAGGGCATCCACTAAAGGAGGCCTTGCATTATTAATCCCTAATATAGGCCACCAGGTAATCTCACAAAAGCAGTGCAGTTCCATCATCCACACGAGCACTGGCTCCATATGTCCTTCACACAGGCATGCACAAGGTATGTGCACATAGGTGCATGCAAACGCACACAAACCACACATGCATACACATAAAACATAGATGTGCATGTGTTCTTGGGAAGAAACACATAGGACCACCTAGCAAAAAGACACAGGAATGGGGGGGAATAAAGAATAATGATGGAAAGGGTGAATTCTACTGTAGTGAACTGTAAAAAAAATCTGTAAATGTCCCAATGTACCCCCAGTATGACAATAATAAAAATATTAAAAAAAAAAAAAAAAAAAAAAAACACAAGAAGAAGGGATCCAGGGAGATTCTCCCAGCATTATGGGAACTGTCAGAAATAAACTGCTCCCTTCTGCCTCTCTGAGATGTCTCAACCTAATCCTATTTCCACTGCATGCTGCCTCTTTCTGGGCTCTGAGCTTCCCACAGCACAGAACTGATCCTCTTCCCCGATCACTTGGTCTGCAGTCTCCTCTAACCCCACCTCCCAGCTCCTATGGGACTGCCCTCCCCTCTGCCCACAGCACCATATACTCAAGCCAAGAGCTACCCAAACAGCTGTGCTGGCCCCTCACAGTCACCTGCTGCAGTGGCCACAGGCTGATGGCCTGCAACTGCCCATGTGGGCTCTACATCTGGCTATCTTAGTACATTCAGTTTTTCCCAAACCTGTGACCCAGGCCTATTTCTGAAAGTCCACTAGGTTCAAGGGAGTGCTTACCTTGGGGCTTTCCAGGCTAAATGTACAGTGCTCTAGCAAGTAGTCGTGTTGCAGGCCTACTTAAGTTGCTGAGAATACAGAAACTGAGACTCAGAACTATTACAGTGGAACAGAGACAAAGCTAGGGGTGGGGGGTTGAAGTGCTTCAGATAGAACTACTGAGATCAGAACTCGAAGTAGGGGAGGTGCTGAGAGGCCCCACCCCCCACCCCCGTCACAAACTAGACAAGCAAAGTCAGAACAAATGACTAGCTGGCCCGTAGACATGGGGGGCAGAGGGAACAGGCAATGGGGTAGTCCAAGCCTTGTCCAACTCCCTGGGGATGGGGAGCCTGGGCAGCCCCAACTCCAAACCTGTACCCGACTCCCAGGAATGAAAAGCTAGTGCCTGCCCACATTCCCAACTCCTGAGGTTTCGGGCATCCACACTGCCCTCAACCTCACACCGTGCAGACTTTGAAAAGGTCAGAGAGAGGATGGATGTCAGCATGCACACAGTGCAGGCATGTCCCAGAGCCCTAAATCACAGCCAGCTCAGTACCCCCTCCCTACCTAAGTCCTTGCTGAGGTGCCCTCACCTCTCACGCCCAGTTTTACAGGTCTCTCTGGGTTGGTGCATCCCTCCTATCCTGAAGGGCTGAGCCACAGAGGAGACACACAGGCAGGGAACTATGGGAGAACACTAGCTTGGCCCTGCTGCCCCAGCATGGTTCTGAAGGGTTCCTGCTAAGCATCACCTGAGCACATGCCATCCATGGATCACTAAATGCTCTCAGCAATACTCCACTTGCTCGAAATCCACAAAGACCACTCCAGATTCAATGTGCAGTGGGCACACAAGCCAATGAGGGTTCTGTGGGGTCAGTGGGGCCTGGGGAAGCCCCCACAGGCAAACTGAGTGAGGGGCTCCAGTCAGTGGCCAGGTGACAGGGAAGTTACTACACTATTTCCCTCCTACAGGGCCAGACCTGACATCAGAACTCAGATTCTGATTTTACCCTGGCACTTACCCAGAAGAACTGAGTGGAAAGTGCACAGGGACTTCCTCTGGGGAGACCACAGAAGTCCCTCTGGAACCTAATCTCTGGGGCTCTTCCAGTCCCAAACCTCAAATCCCTGGCAAGGAGCCTCAAACCCCACAACAGTAAGAAGAGGCCAAGATGCAAACGATTTCCCCAGGAGCACCAGGAAAGAACAATGTCTGCTGGAGCCTTCCCTGGACTGAGCTCCCTTTCCCTCTTCTCCTTAGGGCCTGACCGTAGGACTGGAAACCTGTCACCACCCCGACCTATCCAGGAGACACCAACAGAAGGATGAGAATGGAAAAATGTCAACTCCCTCTAGCCCTCTCCTAAGATACAAGCAGCTTTAGGCATGCAGGTGTGACATACTCTAGCCAGAGACCCTCCCAGCCTTCAGAAGCCTCTTCTAAAGAGGATGGCACCAAGAGCAGCCATATTCCTCTACCAGAGTAGGACAGACTACCACTGCCTCCAGAGAAAGCCAGGGCAGAGGGATAGCAGTCAATCGTGTGCAGGCTACTGAACCTCACTGATGCTACCCAGCTCAGTTTGGGTCTCTTTCCATTAAGGAGAGGAACTGGCTGGGTCTCAAACAAAGTCCTGGATGCCAACTCATAGTCAGAGTAAGCATAAGAGAAACAAAAGTTCTGAGTCCAAGGACAGTAGAGTGGAAGGACACACAGGGGTTGGCCAGCCACTCTTTCAAACAGAGGAAAAATCAAGGCCCAGCACATGAAGTGTTGGGGATGCGCCCAGAACTGACTGCCAAGGCCCCTTCCTTCCTCCAGAGTCACTCTCACTCTCTCCCTCCTTTCCTTCCTCATTGCCTGGGGTCACTCACCTCTGATTCGCCTACCCCCACCCAGTCCACCACTTCCTCAAATCACGGCAACATGTTTCCTGGCTCTTCTGTATGTGCCAAAATAGAGAGGTGAAAGCTGGGGTGTGACTGAAGAGAAATGTGCTACCTTCAAGTTTACAACTCAGGAAACTGCTGATCTTTCTTTTTCTAGACAAAGATCCACTGCTGGGCCAAGGCAGTCCCAGAGCTTCAAGGAAAACCAGGCAAACTCCACCACTGGCTGGTGTGGCACCTACAGGAGTGTGAAAGGTCTTCTCTGTACAGACAGGTGTGAAGTGGGCAGATAGGAGTTCAGGTACAGGAAACTCTGCTTGTCAGTGGCTGAAACAGGAAACTATCCTAGTGGTGGATCCCATCTTAACCACCTTTTCTGGGGGCTGAAGAAAGTTTTCCTGGGTACCTAAGAGAAAGTCATGGTCTGGGAAATCTGAGTCTCAGAAAACTCCAGAAAAGCCTACTCTCTGGCAGGCAGGCTGCCCAGTAGCCCTCTCAGGGGACTCTAGCAAGGGTGAACTAGAGGGGCACCCATAAAAGCAAACTGCCTTCCTCCTCTCCCTTTGGACCCTACCCAAGACTGGCCAACCACCTTGCTTCCACCCTCTCTTCTCACAACCAGTACCATTACAACAGATACTTAGAAACTGCTTTTGCTAAAAGACACTGACTCCTCACCTGAACCCACAAATTAACGAAAGCAAGATAAAAGCTTGTCATCTGCCAGGAGCCAGTGGCTCACACCTGTAATCCTAGCTACTTTGGAGGCTAAGATTTGAAGGATCATGGCTCAAGGCCAGCAGGGCAAATAGTTTGTAAGACTCCCATAACCAAAGCAAAATAGACTGGAGGTGTGGCTCAAATGGTAGAGCACCTGCTTTGTAAGCATGAAGTCCTGAGTTCAAGCCCTAGTCCCACAAAAAAAAAAAAAAAAAAACTTGGCACCCTGCCTCCATTTTACATCTGTCTCCTTTACTAAGTCTCTCTCTCACCTTAGGTTCTAGGAAGGACAGCAATGATTGATAATATTTTTATGACAAAGGCTGAAACTACCCCCAAGAAACAGTGGCACACCAAAGGACAGACCACTGCCAAATGAGGAAAATTATCTATGATGATGAGGCTGTACCATGGAACAGGATTACATAATGGGGAACAGACTGATCCCATCAGTGATGACAGTGATAACAACTATGGATCACCAGAGATCCAGAACTGAGATAACCAAGCTACACTTTAACTAGGACTGTTTAGTTATGCATACCTCTCTCTCCCTGTCTCAATTCTTTCTCTTTCTCTATTTAAAAACTAAAGTTTGCTGAGCGCTGATGGCTCATGCGTGTAATCCTAGCTACTCAGGAGGCAGAGATCAAGACGATGGTGGTTTGAAGCCAGTCTGAGCAAATAGTTCACAAGACCCTATCTCAAAAAACCCTTCCCAAAAAGGGCTGGTGGAGTGACTCACCAAAGTAAGCACGAGTTGAAGTGCTTACTTTGCCTCTTCCTGTGTGTGATAATCTCTCTTCTCTGCCCTTTATTTAGATATTGGGACGAGTGGCTGGACCTGACATGTTGAAAACCCCAGAGTTGGGCTTATGGTCTACAACTCGTTACAACTCTGGTGAGCCAGAGCCAGAACTAAAATGCGTCCTTTGGGCATTAGCCACTCACAGCTAGCTAGCTGAACTTCGACTAGGACAGAAAAGTTTCATGCAGCTGCCAAAATCACTTTATTTTGGGATAGATCTCTCACTTTTCATCTCGGACTAGCATCAGCTGCTTTTTACCATCATTTGGTGAAGCACAGTGGCGCGAGCGGTTAAACCTGACAGTTTGAAACCCCGGGAGTTGGGCCTCTGACCTAGAACTGTTACACCATGTGGCTACTTTCACCTACTTCTCTTCAAGCCACCACCGGCAGCAGTCACTTGCGCTCCCTTCATCTACCGGCTTCCACGTCTGCTAAAATGGATGCTTGGGAAAAGCAAGCGGAGGGGCGGCGTCAGGAACCCTTATCCAAGCCCACTGATCTTACAGAACCTCAATCGACACCCGTACGTCGGGAGAACCTGCCCCAACTGCCTGCCCATCCCAAGACCCGTATCTGCAATGGCCGTGGGGAATGCCAGAAGCCCACAGAGCAGCTGGATAAGCCTGTTCCTTGCTCTGGGGTCTCAGGATAGGTAGAGAGGGACAAACCATGCAAAGCACAGAGCTTGAGAAAATACCGCGTGCTCCCGCGAGACAACAAGACCGCTCCGGGTGCCCCCGTGCGGTCCGCCGAGGAAGAGCACCGCAGAGGCTCGGGATACGCGTGTCTGTAGGAGGTTGGAGCTCCGCGTGCCAGTCCCTTTCAACGAGGAAAGGCGCACAAGCGCAAAAAGCGCGCCACCGCCTAGCCCGGAAGCTTGGAGCAACCCGTCGCCAGCAGCCCGCGTCTCACTCACCTTCCGGTGGTGCGCGACCCAGGGCGGCCGCCGCCAGCCCGGCCAGCGGGCGCCGTAGCATCCGGCGCAGCAGCCTCGGTCCCTCCCCACCCGTAGGGCCTACGTCACAACGGCGCGCCGGCCCGCGTAAACCTACGGGAGTACGGCATCCTGCTGCGCCTGCCCGCTTTCGCCTACTTGGGCGAACGCAACGACGCGCTGACCCACCTTCGCCCGCCAACTTACGTCAGCGGTCCGTTGGCCCCGCCTACAGCGGGCTAGTCCTTGTGTGCGCTCCAGAGAATCCCCTAAATGCGGAGCAACTTCGCCTGCATCTCCATCTAGACCCGCTGGGAAACACGTCAAAGCTCTTTGCAGACCCGGCCCACTACGGCTTCTTGCCTTACACCGGGCAGAAAAAACACCTCAAAGCCTACCCGGTTTGCCCTCTCTTACGGCATATTTCTGCGTCAGCCCGTTTCTCCACTGAGAAACGGTCATAAAAATGCGCCGGCCACGCCAGACTTGTCCCACCTGAGGGTCACCCCACCCTGCCCCTTATGTCACTTTTCTAAACTGGTCCACCTCTCCCAAACGCCACTGTCAAAGGACAACACTGCAACACATTTATAGATGGAATGGGCTTTTAACTTGCGGTTTATAAATCGGGGAACCTCCATTCTACAGGATGGAAAGAGCTCCCCTTGGCAAGAGCAAAACAGTGGATTTTGTAAGGTGGGGACAGAGACATAGGAAAAAATAACAGATGAGTTAATATCAGGTAACTTTCTGCTAGGGTTACTAAAAGACAGCGGTCTGAGCCGGGCGTGGTGACTGCATGCCTGTGATCCCAGTACTTGGGAGGCTGAGGCAGGAGGAGGGAGAGATGAAGTCCAGTCTGGGCTATAAGAGACCCTGTTTGAAAATAACCAACCAGACCGTTGTTTGGCAACGTTTCATCAAGTAAGATTATGATTTTTTTTGTGTGTGGTACTGGAATTTGAACTCAGGACCTACACCTTGAGCCACTCCACCAGCCCTTTTTTTGTGTGTATGAAGGATTTTTTCGAGATAGGGTCTTGCGAACTATTTCCCTGGGCTGGCTTGAAACCGAGATCCTCCTGATCTCTGCCTCTGCTAGGATTATGGTGTGAGCCGCAGGCGCCGGCAAGATTATGAAATTCTTACTACAGCATTATCCTAACATTTGAGCAAGGCAGGCAGGAGCAAGGAAAATTAAAGAGGGCTAAGAGTGCAGTGTTGCTGCCACATCTTGGGAAGAGCTGTTTACTGTAAGGTTATCAATTTATCAGCCGGTGTGTAGTTTGAATGTCTCTGGTTATGGCATTGGCAGTTTGGTGAACTCTGTGTGACCCAAACAGTTTTATCCATGAGATTTATCCATGGAATTTCACAAGGAGGTATCCAGCTACAGCTTATAGGGCTTCAGGAAAAAGCAGTTCTTGTTCTTAGTTGGAGAGTTCTTCAGGAGATCTTAAAGGAAAGTAGAATTCAGGATCCAATCTAGTATATAGGTAGGTAATAAAAACTCAAATATCCCATCTCCTGTACAGAGTTGCAATCTAATAATAATATCTGTACTGTAGTTTTTCTTTTAAAACATTTTTCCTTGGTACAGTCGCCCCCACAGAGTGTCACTATCCCAAAAGTACATTTGTTTGAAAAATTAAGTTTAGTTTCATAAACATGGTCTGTTTACAAGTACAGCAAGAATCACAATTGAAATGGGGTGCTGGTGGCCCATTGGTACCTGTAATCCTAACTACTCAGTAGGCAGAGATCAGGAGGATCGCAGTTCAAAGTCAGCCCCCAGACAAATAGTTCTTGAGACTATCTTGAAAAAACCCACCCCAAAAAAAGGCCTGGTGGAGTGGCTTGAGTGGTAGACCACCTGCCTAGCAATCGTGAGGCCCTTTGATTTGACAAAGTCAAATCAAAACTGCACTGAGAACTGGGTGCTGCTGGCTGATACCTGTAATACTAGCTATTTGGGAGGCTGAGATCTGGAGGATTGTAGTTTGAGGCCAGTCTGGGCAAATAGGTGACAAGACCCCATCTCCAAAGTAACCACAGCAAAATTGACTGGAGCTGTGGCTCAAGCTATACAGCACCTGCTATGCAAGCATGAAGTCCTGTGTTCAAACCCCAGTATCACCAAAAAAGAAAACAAAAAAAGCAAATGCTGGTCAGTATGGGAAGGGGGAAAGGAACCCTCATATATTCTTTTGGGCTATAACCAACTTGTCTTTGACAAAGGAGCTAAAAATATACGATGGAGAAATAGCAGCCTCTTCAACAAAAACTGCTGGGAAAAACTGGTTAGCAG